GACTTTGATGATGAACACATCAGCACTTTATCCAGTTGTAGGGCAGCCCTCCTACTACCCAAAGTTTGGCACCGTCAGTTTCACTATGGGCCATTTTCGCTTTGATGTCTAGGCCCAGTGAACAGCTAGTCCTGTTGAAACAGTCCTAGACATCTTGAAGGCCCATGTCTTCCTAGGCCTTTGAGATGTCCATTTTGGAGCTTGGGACTGTTTGCGTTTTCACAGGATGCTAAGCCAATGCCTTTGGATCTAAGATCAATGGCAAAAACCATGGACTCCCTTTAAGTACGCAGCCTCCATGTGTGCTGTTTGCCTTGTGGTTCCAGACTTCACAACCAGTCTTATGCTCCAACAATGCCAGTGCTTCTTTCAACATCTTTCAACCCCGAGTGTGGAGGGGCTTTTCTTCCAGTCCAAGTTTCAGCAAAACCTCCACATTAGTGACCATATGCACATTTTGTTCGATCAGCAACAGCCCTGAAAATCATCACACGTCTTACGTCTTGAGAGAACAGATGAAGTTATGAAGTTCCAAGCTTTTTCTCCATGTCCATGACCTGGGCCAAGCCTTAAACCCCTGAATTCGTCCGCAGGCGATCCCCGCATTGGACGGCCGAGAGCTTCTTCGATGCACAAGCCTCGAGGAGCTCACAGGTGGGGCCCCAACCGCCCCCCCGTACCGAGGGTCGACTCGGTTCGGACCGACCCGTGCAGACCGAAGGCGCCCGGGAGGCTTCTCTCGGCGCCCGGGAGGCTCATGTGCTTTTCTTTTTTGGTTTTCAGTTTCTCGATCGGGTTGGTCTCTCAATGCTTTGGGCTGATGTATGCTTTATCTGACAATTCACGGCAATTTAGATAGTCATTTGCACGAAGGAATGCCGGTGGATTCTTCTTCTGGGACCCCCTGTTGACCGGAACCGAACCTTTCCCCGCGCGTTGATGGGGGACATCTCCCCACCAAAAAGGCACCCTGGGGAACGGGACCCCGTCATCCTTGGACTGCCTTGTATTGAGACAAGAGCATATTTGTCTCCACTGTGATGCTGGGATATGCTGCGATACGTACCCGTATGGATTGCAACCCAGATATTCAGGATCCCCCGGTTGGGAGTAATATATAGAAAGCCAGCCGATAGGCCAAGCTGAAGTTGTTCTTGTGAACGATGTGTAGTGGAAGTGTGGGGGGAGAGCGGCCAGCTGTTATGTTTGGCAGAGGCCAATTTTGGGCAGTTGGTGATGCAGATGATGGAAGGCCAAAAGGTTTCTGCATCATTTGCATCGCGAAGTCGTATGGGGTTACGTCCCAGATGGTTAACAAACCCAATGTTGAGAAAGGAAGGAGGCTCTGCTTTGCTTCATTATGTTGTTTTTTTTTAAATGTTTTGTTGTCTTTTCCTTTAGCTTTTAGTTGCTTTCACTTGCGTTCGTCTGACTCAGAGCCACCGGTGTTTTTGTGAGGCCACGCCGACGGGTTCAACAAGCGAGCAGTTGAACCATGGCAGTAGTTTTGTTTTTGCTTCATGTCGGAGCAGGGTAACAAGATTTTTCCACAAGCGTTCCCCACTGACCTGCTAGAGCCATGGGTTCTTGGAAGCGGGCACGTTGACTGGTTCAACAAGCGGGCAATTGAACCATTGGTTTTGATTCCAGCTGCCTGCTAAACAAAGCCGCTTTCGTCCCACCTTCTCAGGTCTAAATGTGTAATCGAGATGTAGTCATACCCAGAATATTTATTTAATCATGCTTCATCATTGTTTTCACCCACGCGCCTCGTGACCACCTCATGGACGTTCACCCCATCAAAGAAGACACCACCGGGTGCCCCCTGGTGCGAGACCTGGAAAAGTGCCAGCAGCGCAGAGAAGAGCCCCAAGTCAGCAGGCGAGTGGGCTGGGCATGGCTGGGCCACATCGAACATTTGTGTTGGTCCATTCATCTCCTTTTGCAGTTGGCTTCGCTGGCCCACCATTGACTTACTGTAATGTGATTGAACGGTCTCTACTGAACAACTGAGCTGCTTTTGCCAAGGGTTTTGTGCTACAAACGCGTGGACTCTTCCATTTACCACCACTTGGAAGAATCTCCATCCCACGAGCTGGTCTTTCTTCCTAGCCGTGTTCTCCAGATCTTTCAAGCCCAGTGGCATTCGCAGTGGCATCAGGCCCAAAGCGAGTGGCGGCTTCCACCAAAGCGCCCAGCACGCCGGAAGAGGCCGAGAATGCGAACCACACGTGTGTTTTTTGAGATAAACCGTGTTTGTATGGGACCGGTGTATTTCGGTTTGACGGTGGATGCGCGGCCGGAAATCCAAGAAACATATTTTTTCCACAGAGATAGATAGTGATGTGCATTATTACTTAAACTATTAGATGTACTCTTAGTTCCTCAACCCCTTTTGGTTCATAAATGGGTTTCATTACTTTTCATTACACCCTCGACCAAATCCTTAGATCTGTTCTGTTCGTGCACGGGCATGGTGGGCACTTGGGACCGAGAAGAAGGAGAATACAACTGTCCAAGAAGACTGAAGACTAGAGAAAATCCGCAGGAACCCTCATGAAACCAGACATCAAACACCAACAAACACCGAATCGTTGGCAGTTTCTACTTCTACAACGTGTTCAAACCCCATGGCTTAGGGTATCAATCTAGGCGTTCTTGATCCACCAGATCTACCCAAAGCGACTGGGAAATGACCTGGGAGTCAGATAACATATCTACCATACGCTCCTTGTGGATCTCCATTTGTTGCACCCCTTTCGCTGCAGCAGCTACAGACGACCGTTGTTTTTTTGCGCACGCCAGAGCAACAAACAAAGAGGAGATTCTGAAAGTGTTCCTCACTTTAAATTCCTGTTTGGAACGTTCAACAAGTATGTGCCTGGGGAAAAGGAAGCTGTTCCATAGGTTCGGGTGTGTAGCAGGGTTGGTGTTTGTTTGAGGATGGATCCATGAAAGACTGAGAGACCCAGCCGTTTCCTCGAGAAAGGATCAAAAGGCTAAAGGGTCGACGGCCGATGTTTAGATGGCACAGACCCCATGATGTCCTCTAGATGGGGGTCCATATAAACCACCTCTTGGGGTGTGCCATTTACTCTCAATCCACTATAGTTAACTATAGTATTTGCAAAGGGTTTTCTTTCCAGGACCAAGTCTGGGATGAATGAACTTTGTTTCGGTATATATACTTTTGGGTACCTCGACTTGGGTCCAGGATGTTTGGCTAAAGATGGTCTCCAACGCCATGATGCCAGCTCAGGTGGGCCACTGGCTCTCTTCCCATGATGCACTTCAGAGCGTCAAAGGCTCTTTCATCATTGGACGGGAGCTGTGGCGCGGTTGAACCAAATGTTTGATTTTCCTTTTGTACCTACATTCCTACATGGAGGAGGAAGGACTGAGTCAAGCAAAAGCAAGGAAGGTCCCAATGCCTGGAGGACTGCTTTTTGTAGGGACTTTGCATCACCCCCCCTTCTATCCGAACCCATCCCAATTCCCAATGGCAAGTGGCACCGTGCCGGCTTTTCTTTGCAAGAGACCCAGGACTCCGGGGATAGGCAAGGGGAAACTGTAGCACTGGCCTTTTTGGAGGATGGCATTGTTCAACCCTTTCAAGCGCGAAGACAAACACACGCACACACATCCACGATTTTTCGGCCTTGATGCTGGGACATGGTACATGAGAGACGCATAATTACTATACCAGTAGAAAGATGCTAGTCTTCAAAAAAGAAAGTTCACAGCGGGATTCACGTGGTATTTTTTGTGGGTCTACCACGCGTGTATTATTATCGCCCTGCAGCTGTGGGGCGTTGGTCGCGCGAGGCGATCCATTAAAGAGCTCGTGTGGCTGGTCTTCGGGCTTTCGCCGAGACCCCATGAGTACGGACAGCGCAGGGGGGCGGGGGCGAGGGGGCGACGTGTGTTGGAACCATGGCACAGACAACGGTTGTTTGGTAAGGGAAGGGCTTCGGATTGGTCACCTCAGATCGGGGAGAACACGAGAAAATGGCCGGGCCGAGTTTGCTCGTCTCCGTTTGCTCGGCTTAGGGTGCAGCTCAACTGGCAGATGTTACCAACAGCATCCACCAGGTAGCAATGGTGATGGTTAGAAGCTTGCTTCGGCACGGAGGACGCCCCCCCATGGCGACCATAAGATGTTTAGAGTCATTGGAGTCTTGAAGGTGAACCACATGATGTCGCAGATCCACCTGACTCCAGTGTCGCAGGCCACAGCGGGTCGTCGGTGCTCAGTTAAGCACCCCTTTCATTGTTCCCTCCCGGCCTTCACCACCATCATGTAGACTCTTGATCAATAATCCATCCGTTGGAGGTACAAAACCTCTGGAAGAGGCCTTGGGGAGGTTTTCAAACGAGGCAGCGCCCCGGGAGCCCGCCCCCAGGAGGAAGTGCTCCAGGTTCGGATCATGGAGCGTAGCAACGCGGCCTTCGCCAAGCGGAGGAAGGACGAGCGCAGCTCATGGGCGGTGCGGTTTGCAGCGGCTGAGATGGGGAGATGGGGAGGTTCAAGATGGTTCAAGGAGTTTGTTCGTGTCGCCACCGACACAACCGGGTGCCAGAGTTGGCGGGGACGACGGTGAGGATGAGGTCTGGATGGGGAGCGACGACCTCTGGCTAAGGATTTACGAATGAAGATGCGAGTGATGCTAAACTTAAATCTCCAGACGTTGTGTTGTTGCTTATGGATCCTTCTTGGCTGGCACGCCGTCTGGGGCTCCAGAGGATGTGGCTTAAGCAAGTCCACTTGAGGAGCCCAAAGTCGCAGTATCGCTCAATGGTAGCGTTGCAGAGCAGGGCTGCTGAAAGATCAAAAGCGAACACTTGCTGGAAGTGACCGGGGCATGATATGCAAGAGTACTGTACTTTTAATTGCCCCTTTCAGCTTGTCATCAGTGGTGCAAATTCAATGAGTGAAGTGAATTGCCATACCATGATTGCTCGATAGGTAGCACCCCTTGCTGTACCCTTGCCGTGGCCCAATGGCGCTGGGGCGTGCAGAGATCGGCTGGTTCCCAGGGCTTCAGGATCCCACGGGCGAGTCCACCTGGCCCCCAGCTGTTGCCGCTCGGAGAGGTGGTCAACACTGACATCATTATTACCACAACAGATTCCATCATATCTCACAATTCTCATCTACAAAATGCTCTCATCTCAGAAATGGATGCAAAGATGGTCAAGAATGTCAGGAGTCATGTGAGTGTTCTACCATCGATGTTTGGCTATGTGTCCTTCCGTGCCCTGACCCCCACAGCCCAGGTTTTGATGGCTCACCTTGCCTCCAGTCGCGGCCGGGCGCTGCTGCACGGCAAGGATGTCTTGGAGCTGGGCGCGGGCAACGGTCACTGGGACGGACTCGCCAGCGGGGGTTCGCGTTCGCGGGCGGAACAGAATTGGGCGTTTCTCTGTGCTTGGCTCGCAGGTTGTTTGTTTTTTTTTTTTTTTTTTTTCGGACGTGGTGATGTGCATGTTAGACTACGAGAAGATCTTCTTCAATTTGTGGACACCTGCATATGGCTGAGCACCAGGAAGGGTAGAGCAGCGGAACTTTTCTCCACTTGTGTTTCAACGAGTGAGTTCAAGTCATCAAAGACATGGAAGGTGGGCCAATTGAACAGATTAATCAGCCTAGCACGTTTTCAGGTGAGTCTATAGGGTATGAAATGAATGTTTAAACAAACACAAACGACTAAACATGATTATATAACCCAGACACTCCATGTATGACATATTTACATGCATTGGGGTGGTTTCAGGGGTACATGTAGGTAAATATTCCATACATGGAGTATCAGTATCTGGGTAAACCAGTTCCGTGTGTGGTGTAGTGGGTTAGCAGGGGACGACTGCTATAAGAAGCGCGGCGCGCCGATCATCCCCACATCTCTTCTGTTTCCATTGTGGTTCGAGCGACACAGATGGGATGTTCACCGGCAAAGCACCTGCAGCTCGAACCACTTATAGCTCACTTCCCATGGTATCAGTGATCTTCATGGTGATCCACTCTTCATAGGATTTGATCACTTGTTATATACCATGAAGAGTGGATCACCTTGAGCCTTGAGCCTTTGACTGGTGCTTAGTAGGAAATACGGAATGAGCCCCGTATAGAGATTCCTTTGGATCCATTCCCTCATTCCTTACATTTCCTTACTAAGCACAAGTCAGTTCTGCGAATTGGTTTCCTCACTAAACAAGAACAGGTGGAGCTCCTTCGGTTCCCCTTGATTTGGAAATGGTTCGGGAGCCAGATTAGCACAAAGCTGGGATGGCTTTGGTCGATTATTAGAGGCTTGAAAACGGTGAGCCTTTTAAAGGAGGAACCCATCAGGCATCGAGGAGTTGGACACCGACGTGACACGTCTCCTGCTATAGTAGGGGCTATTATTAGACACTCCTTAAGGGGTTCTGGTAGTGGTCCTGATCCTGGTATATATTTTCTGCTTTGGCATCTCTAAGGAGTTGTGAATCGATTTTCCTTTGGGGGAGGGTGATGCTGGTGGAGTTTTATTTTCTCACAGCATCCTTCAGATGCACAGAAAAGCATGTGGTCATGAGATGAGGAAGGTGCATTGAGTTTCAGAACTTCGCAGCTGGGACTGGCAGCGGGTCTCGGCACGGCTTCGTTCAACAGTTCAACACGGCCGTAGGATGTTATAGATGCAAAAACTAATGTTGTTTGTTTACTCGGTGTGGGAAATCACCAGAGACACCTTTTGCCCGTTGGGGCCGTCTTCTAGGTGGATGAAACATGCTTCCAATCAACCACTACAGTTTGCAATCCTGGCAAGTCAAACCAAAATGCAAAAACGAAACAGTTATCATATAACGAATTGCGGTACTCAGTACATATCCAACAGAGAAAAAAGGATCGGTTTTCACATGTCTTCACTCTGGTGGTTCGGCTGATCCTTCAAAGCACGTCATCCTAGGTGCTTTGGCCAAAGCCGTGGCGGTGAACGCCCAGCCGCGGAAGTTGGTGGCCACGGATCTGCCACATCGGGTCGAGGAGAACAAGAGCCTCATGGGTTGGGGGATGAGATGAGTGTAAGAAGATCCCCAACCACGGGGAGTATATATCATCACATGGGAGTATATACTATGGGATGATATCCTTTGGGTTGGTAGAGTCAGAAGAATCACTTCTTAAGATGTGATCATATACTGTATGATGTGAATATTCAGGCTTGGAGGGCGGTCGCCCGACATTTTGGACGAAGCCACGGGTCACTGTGAAGGTTTGTGGTTGGAATGGTTGGAATGGTTGGGGGCCTCCGTAGGAGGAAGGTCCCCAGAGTTAGACAGAACCAGTACAGAACCCATGGGATTGGAATACGAGATGCACTCGGACTCACTAACATGGAAGTGGAGTTCACCACCTGATTGTAGAGGAACACGGTCTTTCCAGGGGCCATGCCATCCACTTCCATGATTGGTATAGGAGGGTATATATATATATATCTACAACCTGAATGACCCCTGTTTTGGAGCCAAAATTTTCGGGTGCTTTCACCATCAAAGCAGAGGTCATGTCTGGGTTCGACTGTAAGTGTATTGATGCTTTGACCCCTCAAACGAATCGACCAACGATTTAGTCCATACTTTGGTGCTCGATTTGGCAGTCCATAGGATGCTGCACCTGCCCACAATCGTCCACAGCCCTGCTCGAGGGGAAGTTTCCTTGGTCTGGAATCCATTCCAAACAGTTGACAGTTTCTTGGAGCAAGTCACTCAGAGCAACTCAACAAGCAGAAAGCCGAGAGTTCTCCTCTTGGCTTTTGCCAAGCTGGAGCTGGCAAAAATCAGTAAACACCAATCAACTGGTATAGACTCTTCTGGCTGCGGGTTAAGCCTAGGCCTAGCCAAGCCAAGAAGGGCTCGGCTAGGCATCATTCACCATGCGTGAAGGGAGGGTCATTCAAGTGGTGTTGGTCTTTGCGTGTGTTTGACACTATGGACTCGGTGCCTCTTTTATCATTTTTTTGGCGTCCGGAGCCTAGCATGGGACCTAGGACCTTCCACCTACCTCCAAACTCGTTGCAGATTCTCTCCCTGCAGGAACTGCAGAATGTTTTGCATGGAACGAGCCTTGGCTGAAAACGACCCCGTTGCAGGCACAGGCGACCATGATTTGCTAACACGGGCCAGTGAAATGCGGCAACGATGACTAGAATGACTAGAATTATGTATGTACTCCTTCAGATTCAGGTGGCGAGAAGACTTAAGCTTTGGCCAACCTGCACTAGTAGTCCCTCAGTGCCGGCCCGCCCTCATCTTTGGGAAGTGTCATAGGTGATGTTGCTCGAGGTTCAACTCCAGAAACCACCAGCTTCTTTCGCAGCAAACTATACCCAAAAAGGCTGGTTTTTTGGACGCTCTTTGTTACTTGTGATTGCCAGAACCTAAGAAATACAAGTCCGACTTGCAAAAGAGCAGGCCTTTGGCTAGCCCATCGGCTTCCATCGGTTCTGTTTCCATTCCACCAAAGAGTGGGTGTCCCCAAGCTCAGAACCCGAAACCATCTAAAACCACTCCGACTTCGGCATCAAACCAACCCTAGGGATCCAAGTACCTTCCCAGAAGGTGTTTGGGGCAAGTTCTTTGGGCCGGTCAGCTGAGGGGGGGTCCGTGCGGCAGCCCTCCACTGGGGCGACGCTGCAGCAGTGGCCCAGCTATGCCGCGAGCACTTCGGCCGGCCGCACGCGCAAGTGGTGCTCATCAGTGACTGGGTGCGGAAGTAGTGCTGTTTTCTTTTCGAGGGTTTTGCGGGCAAAAAGGGCCAGATGCACATATACTCAGATTCTCAAGCCCGAATGTGAAATCAGTCAGATTTTGTGGTTTCCAACCCGCTGCATCGCAGGCACCACGAGGTACATGTGGCATTCATCCTAAATTGGGTTCTTGGATTGACGCGAAAAGCTGCCCGATCTCTGAAAGTCTTCCTCCGAAAGCTTAAGCCCCATTCCATCCCTCTCTTTGGAGGCAGCTAACATAATTACATTTGCGGCCCAGAAGTGGCATGCGTGGGATGAATCAGGGTGGTTTTTGGCATCATGGTGCAGTGATGCTGATGAAGCAAGGCGATTGTCTCTACACCAACTGGGTTGAGGATAGCGCTCATCTGCTGGCGAAGACCTTACATGCAGCCTTAGCCTCTGAGAGCGGCTTGGGAGCAGAGGAGATGGAGTCGGGAGATCCTGGAATCAGGAGGTACTGGCGCCACGTTGCAGCTGGTTTTTTTGGACTTCTTCTTACCTGCTGACCAGCACAGAACTCCTTAACTGTTCGGTAGCCCAAACAAACATGGAGGCTTTCCGCAAACGACAAGCCTACCCACCACCTTCAGCACGAAAGAATGATCTTCCAGGAGCCACACGCTGCCAGTCTTAGCAAATCGCCAGGGGTTCAGTGGTCAGCCTTGCAGTCCAGTTCTGAAACCGCTTGTAACATTGCCTGTGATCGGACCAAATCCCCGTGGCACGGTCAGTGGCGTCAGTGGCGCTGTCGGTCCAGTTCTTTCCGCACAAACTGTCCCACCTTTGATCGTCAGCGCCTCAGGTATTGCTTTGTTGGCCTATTTGCCCAGAAGTGGCCCTTTGGAGGCTCATTTCTTCGAGTGCGTTCAGCACGTCTACGGCTTGCAGACCTTGCCCAAGCCCTTGCCCGTGCCTTGGAAGAAGGAACGGTGCCCATCTACAGCGCATTTAAAGGGGGGGGCATGTCGGGCATGCAGCCACTTTGGATTGCATTTTTCCGGCAAAAAAGGCCCGGCCATGCTTTAGAAAAGGTGATGACCCCCAAAAAAGAGCAGCTCCCCGCTCCACCCCAAAAGCTCCAAGCTAAGACCTTTACAGTCCGAAAGCCAACCGGTACAGTAACACGGACCATGAGAATAGCACTCTGATATGAAAGAATGCTTTCCTCTAGAGGCCCGTCGTTTTCAGGTTCCATGTTAATCTTCCAGGAAGTATAGGTCCATTTTCTTCTTGAAAGAAGGGCAGCGACCAATATGTGGTGTGATTGTCCAGACACAACTTTCTTAGGTTGAGGTAGCACAAGGTCCAAACAACATGGGCAAGGCTGGACCAGCCGTGTCACGCTGTTGCACTTTGTCAAGGGCCTCAAGTTGTCAAGATGTTCCTGCAAATTGATCAATGTCAATAACATGTCCCAGGCATGGAAGATTAAGAAACGGGTTGAGGTCGAGGTTGCTTGGTGGTGGGTACACCTTGGAATGAAGAGATGTCCACCGCACCATCCTGAACCATCCAGGTCTCTTGAACACTGTCATTTCCGTTGACCAAGCTTTGACAGCTAGTCTATGTAGCTAGGCAGTGTAGAGAGCTTCACCTGCTTCGACCAGTCTTCAGGTGATGGCAGCTCATGACGCACTAGAAGAAGCGACGACACTTTCAGGATTTCCTAGCGTGCCCGGAAAGAAAGGTGGGTCCCCACCAAAAAACGCTATTCCAAGCAGTCACAAATGGGGTGCTTAATGGAGGTTAGGGGTGCCCATTATCCGCTCACTTGGGCGCTAAACACCACCCCGACATGTGACTCCTAGTCCGTTCGACCTGTTGCCACGTGTCTCATGACCCGCGGGTGACCCGCAAGGATTACTACTTGCTGAAAGCCATGGACGAGGCACGCGAGTTCCAAGAAGAGGAACTTCGTGCAGTACGTCTCTTTGAGATCTCAGCCGTTCGGCTCCATTCCTGCATTCCTGGAGTCAAATGACCTCAGAAAATAGCTTTGTAGGGTCAAGTTTGGAGGTTCCAGGGGTTGATGTGCTGCCCCAAGACGGGTCCAGGACCATCCTGAGGCACTGAGGGCAAATCTAGACTAGACCCAAGCCTTTCTGGGAAATCTGGGCTTGGGATGGCTTGGGCTTCGAAGCCAGCACTCTGGACACTTCCAGTTCCCAACCCCCAAAGTGGACACTCTAAGTCTAAGACTATTTACTTTGACAAGCTTTGCAGGGGCAGTCTTAGTGGGACCAAGGAAGATCCTTTCAGGATTCTGAAGACTTCAACCCCCAATTCAGCATACGGGGTAGACTTTGGCCATCTTTTGCAAGTTCGCTTCATCACCAACACCAGGTCACCCACCTTTGCCAAAGCTCTGAGGTGCAAATCCTCTCCAAAGCTCGCAAACACGTAGCTGGTTTGCCCGAGCTCCGGTCCGGTCAAAGTCACCTCGGGACTCGCGGATCCGCAGAGCGCGTTGCAGAAACGGGTGGAGTTGAGCCATTGTGCTGGGTTTATATGCAGAACGCCCATGTATGGAACAGTTACATACATGATCCTTACCCCGTTGCCCATGGATTTTTGGGGGGGGCGTCAAAAATGTAACTTACATTTTCTGCCCAACAGTTACATACATGATCCTTACCCCGTTGCCCATGGATTTTGGGGGGGCGTCAAAAATGTAACTTACATTTTCTGCCCCCACCCTTAGGTGCGGAATTTCTGAACCAGATTGGAACATGTGGGGAACCTAACATGAAGCATGAAAGGGAACCTGGGACATGACCCGAACCCAAACACACATCGCACCTTTTCTCGCTGACTCATGTCATGCGTTCGAACGACGAATGGCTCGGCCTTGAGCCAATGCAGGCATAGGATCGGTTGATCCGTGCACCATGGTTGGGAATCCATCCACAACGAAGGTTGACAATGGCCACATTGGAGACCTTCTGGATATCTAGAGCTTCAACTCATAGACTCCCAAAACTTGCATAGTAACCTTCACGGTCACAACTGGAAATGACTGGATCACGAGTGATTTCAACTTTCCACACCCCCTTTTGTGACCGTCATTTGAGGAACAGTTGCGAACAAAATGCTTGACGTCAAAAAGAACTGCACATGTAGGAGATTATTCGAAAGTTCAATCCTATCTGAGATTCATTGAAGACCTCTAGCAAAGTCGTGACCGAAACTCAGGCACGCTCAGAATGGTCACACCTAAGCAAAATTTCTGAGAATATTTCGTTTTCAAGTCAAGTTGGAAGCTCAACCGAAGGAGGCGTTCACTTGAACACTTTGGCTTCTGGCCCGAACAGTGATGGCTTCATCACCTGGCACGGACAATCTTGAGAACATTTCATCATACTTTAGACTATTGAAGCAAAGCAGACGAACGAAAGCAGTGCTTTGATGAGTTCACTCTTTTCCGTTGGAAAGGCCAACAGCTGCAACGAAAATTAAGCTATGCTGATCACAACTGCCACGGCTTTATTCCATCAAGGCTATATGGCAGATCTACTTTATGTCAACATCTAAGTCTTAAGCTTCTTTAGGCCTGGTCTTAAAGTCATTTTGAACTCTTTCACAACTTATCCAAGCTTCGGCAATCGTGATTAAATCCTAATTTGGCTCAAAATGCCATCTTAGCTTTGCAAATCCGGCTGCCCATGTGACCCGGCACCAACTCCTGTAGGTTGCTTTGGAGGAGTTGGATATGGAGGCAAGCAAACCTTGCAGCAAGCTCGAATCGCGACAGGCCCCCACCGTGGACATTCGCATTGGTCTGCTGAGTCCACTGCATGGCAAACCTGGTTCTGGATGCCCACTTTCAATGCAAACTTGTTGATGTCCAAGATGCCTCGTGGAAAACATGCGCTGCATAGAAAAGTTTCATCAGTCTTGGTGCCACGCCTCAAAGTGCTGCAAGTAGTGAGGTGGACTTTCCCCGTGGAAGCCACACTCAAAAGGGTCCTCCCTTTATAGTGGTTGTATCGTGCTTGCAGTTCATTCGGCGGTGGTACTGGTGGAGCATCACCTTGACTTTGCGATCCATGACTTCGTGGTGCATCTTCCAAGCTTAGTTGCGGCATGTTCCGCTGACGGGCTCTGGATGAAGATGCAGCTGGTGATGAGCTTCGACTGCGGCGACGAATATTGGAACGTGACCTCGGAGTTCTTGGTGAACGATGTCCACCCCGATTGCCACGACTTTCCGATTTCGACATCATGTAGCACAATGTCGCCACTTGCAAGATTACCATGAGGATCATGACTTCAGCCAACATCGACAAAGTGGAATTGGGCTCTTTGTCAAAGCTCGAGAGAAAACTTAGCAGATTCATATATATATATATATATATAGATATGGATACTTGGCTCTAGCTTCAAGACAATTTGGGTGTACTCACCAAAACAGTCCCACTATATATTTGGCTTCTGCTGCAAGACAATTTGGGTGTACTCACCAAAACAATCCCACGGCATGGCTACTGATTCAGTTAGAGCTATCAATTGGGTGACTGACGAGATTCGGCACACTGAACAAAATGTCATTCCACCCTGGCTCAAACATGATGTATCCACCTCCGGATGCTGATGGCTCGGCGCGGCTTATGGAGATCACTCCACTGGCAATGACCTTGCAAAGATTCTCGGGATAGCGGCCGGTAGATGTCCAATCGACTGAATTGAATGGGAGGTGATACGAACAACTGCATTCTTTTGCATGTTTCGAGAACTTACGAACAATCGTGGGATGCGATCCAACCCACAAGAAAACTTTGGAGACTGGCACATCGAAAGAACACAACTTTGGGAATTCACAGAACAATTTTCTTCCAACGTTCTTTAATGACTTGTGAAGCTGTTCACTCTTCCAATAGTTATTTCTCTTAGGCAACTCAAAAGAAAAGTGACTCGAACTTGCGCAAATCTTCTCGCACAAACTGAGCAAATGGAAAAATGTGTCATGACGATGCTGCTTCAAGGACTCATTCTTATTCAGATTCTGAATGTTACTACCTCCTGTGCACGGCAGTGAACAATGGGAAAAACTGAAACCTTTGTGCCTCGAAAGCAGCTGGATGATTTCTGGCTGATTTACCTCAAGAGGACTATCTTCCGTGACTCTGATGATCAACCAGTTGTGGGGACACATCTTAAAGATTATGTTGCTCAATTGGCTATTGCGGTCACAGCAAATCTCCAAGAAGATGTTCTCGAATCTTGGTGTCCGAACTTGCGATATGGATCTGGCGTCAATCAACAAGCTTCGGATAGCCTCAGGTTCTGACACACTAGATGGGCTGCCCGGCAACATATCAGGGACAGAACTGGCAGAATTGTCATTTGGTTTTACCTTTGACTCGTTTGCAGGGACTCCGGAATGACTGCTCGGCAGTAAATCCGAGTATGCTACCTGTTGAGACTTCATGGACTTGGACTTGGCGGGCGAGGTACGGATCTGAGACCTGAGAATGAGCTCATGTGCATATGCTTCAGTGGAGAGTTCACTCCTTTCAAGATACCCCATGAGAACAACGAATCGATGAAAGAGCTTTGCCCCTAGCGTCTTGGTCAATGCATCAGCAATTTGACCTCCGGCATCGATCCAATTGAGTTTAATCTTACCTTGCTTGACTAGCTCTTGACAAAAATAAACACGCAATTCGACGTGTCTTGATCGCCTCTGAAGCCCACTGGCTTGGAGTATCCGGATTGCAGCCTGAGAATCGCAATACATTTCGATGATAGCATCGGGTTGCTCAACACTTTGGGACACCGTCGAATCAGCTTGGGCTTTGGCAGCAAACAGGAACGATGCAAGATGAAACACCTGATTGCACCCGAAGAAACTTTCATGGATGCACGCATATCATTATCGATACCCAAGAAAAGATGCTTCGAGATCTTATTTACTCCTAGTGACTCTTGACATGCATCGGCCAATGCTGACAGCTCCGATTCACAACTAGAAAGTGCTACGGCTTGTTGGACCCTGGAGAATCCTTTTACCAAAGATCCTTTGTAAA